CGAAGACCTCTTTGGTCAGTGCATATTACGTCTCAAAATAACATCTTCATGCCAACATTTTCAAAACATCCCTAAACATCCCAGGGATGTTTGTGCTTGCTGGGATTCATAATAAGCAAATGTCGAGGCAAATGTGGAACCTTTATGATAAACCAATATTTAAGTTTCTCGAAACCTCGCTCGAAACAGTATGAAATCATTAAATTCTCCTTGAGATGATATATTATATTCAGTTGACTAATGCCTGTCAACAATTGACAAAATCATGAATTAAAACACCCTTCTATTATTGTTGTTCATCATATCATATTCTGATGATTCAGGTTCTCCGACAGAAAACACTTAATGTTCACCTCAAACTTTCCAATGCAATAAAAAGCTCTTCTTCTTTTCACAGTTACAAACAGTTTGTAACATACACGAGTGACCAATCCACCCTGATCTCTCTCCGCAGAACGAACTATCTCAGCAATTATTTCAACCCCAGCAGTAATAAATTGCTATCATCACTCTCCACCATAGCGACAAACCAAACCCCCTCCGTAAACGCCCACTCACACGAAACCCCCGAAACACCCCAAGAAAGGCAAAAATCGCTCAGAAAACCCCGATCTAGTAGGTCATAATCCACCCCGAAAAATGTGAAGAACGATTTGCGATAGAATGTTATTATTTCGATATTTGTTATTGCAGCATATTGAATATGCATTATTTTTATACTTGAACATATCATATCTTCTATAAAAGGCTCGATAAAAGGTATATTATAGTCAACATAATTGATTTGATTATGGGTATTTCGTTATCATCAGGAAGACTTATTAAAGATTCAGACTTATCAAAACATACAGAGTGACCCATTCGAATGCGGGTCACATTCATACATTTTTCAATTATAAAGCGATTTTCACGAGTTTTTTCAATGTAGAGGGGATCGAGAAGGGTGAATTTTGGAGCTAATCGGCGTCCAATAAAAAAACAAGGCATACTAAATGACATTCAGAGGCTGAAAAATCTAGAATCCATATTAGCGATTTTTTGGGAAAAAATTCGAGTAAACCACTAGAATCGGTGTCCTCTGGAATAATACGATCTGTACCAAGTTTCATGAAGAAATATTCAAAATCAACGAATCTACAGCATTTCTCATCTCAAACGCCCCTCCCCACTATATCACTGCTATTAAACGTGCTAGCTTTACCAAATTGGGACCGGTATATGAATAGCCATCAATGTGATCAGTTTTTCAATGACGAACATCTTGTTGAATAGTGCCGTGTTTTTTATAGAATTAAAAAGGAGTCGATTTTTATCAATTTTCTCTCAAGAAAACTAACTCCATATTATTTGTTTTTTTTTTACTGAAATGAGATTTTGTCCTATTTCCTTATCATCCTTTTCGAATAGTATTAGCGGATATAAAGTGTTACAAATTTTATTTTCCATCTCGTTTTACTTCTCTAAAATTTTTTTGTGATAGACTTCTTATGTAATATCTTAGTTGTGGTTGAAATTTGTCAGATAAGTTGTGAAAAACTCAGTACATTGAACAACAATACTCTGTGTCTCATACTTCGGCAATAAATATTGGGAATCATCGATATCAGGAAACAAGTTTGAACTGAACATTTTCATCCTGTATTTCAGTTAGAGGCGAATTTTCGAAAATGTCTCGAGTTAATAGTCTAATATGAATAATGAATATCGAGAAGGCCGTTTCTGAATATACTGGATCGAATGGGCCATAGTTTTAGTCACCATTTTTTATTTTTTTTACTGAAATGAGATTTTGTCCTATTTTCTTATCATCCTGTATAAAAAGTGATTTTTTCGTCTTTCATTGTCCTCCACGAAACATAAGAATAATTCTTCCCAACAGTCAGCTCAAGTGGAGTTCTACAGGAAAAAATCATGAAACGCAAGACTTTCGAAAAAAAATCGAATTTTTGTTCCAATGGCCAATTAATTAGAAATCACGAAAAGGTCCCGAGATGAGGTCCCAGTGTATCATAATATGACTGACTTTTGATCAGAAAAAAATGTCTCGAGTTCTGGCAGCATTGGAAATGTAGACCATAGGGTAATGGTTCCACTTTACACCCTGTGTGAGTATTGTTCTGCGGACTTTTTCAGAGTGTTCTAGCTCTCTTTGAAGCCGATGAAATATCACATCATCTGATATCGAAAACCGCATGAAGATCGGTCAATTTTATCAAAAAATAAAGGTCTTCGAAATAGAGTCAAATTATGAATGGTCCATGTAGTGTGTTGAGAACTGTAGTTAGAGAATAGGACTTTCCCCTCTAAAAGTTACCAATTCGGCCCACCCTGTACCTGTTTTTTTGAAATTTCCCCTGGGAATATGAAAATTTACACACATGGTGGAAATTCTTATTGTGTGAAAGTTTTCGTCAAACTAGAAATGCACAATTAGTGTCATCTAGAACTCAAATGTTGAATGTCAGTTAAAATTGGGTAGGTATATGATTTCTCCGAGGATTTCTCTAACATTTTTCATACTTCTGAGATATTTTGTATCAGTGTTGGCTATAAAATGGTTACACAATTCGGTGTGGACCGACACAAAGTTGTGAGGACCTGGAGTTGAAATCAACTCAAAAATGTTTTCCGTGTATGGGGGTGTGAAACCATGGAATTCCTAATACAATTTCGCGAGAAGACAAGAATTGACACCTTTTCACTTTAATAAAATTGCACGGCACCATCCAAAATCAGATATGTCTCTGAAGAATTGATGATTCATTCATACCGGTCCCTATTTGGTAATTGAGATATAGAGGGGGGCGTCTGAAATGAGACACGCTGTAGATTCGTTAATGTTGAATATTTTTTTATAAAACTTGGTACAAAATACACCATTTCCCCCTCTACATTTCAGAAAAAAATTTGTAGAAATCGCTCTTTGAATAAAAAAAGAATGAAGGTGACTCGCTTTCAAATGTATAGGTATTTGCGAGGGTATTTGTCTTGTACCCTGTGTATTGTACGCAAATGTGAAACCTGCTACATTCAATTGAGTTTATCGAAACAGTGCTGACAAAATCATGAACAAAACACCTTCATATTATTGTAGTTCATTCAAATAATATTCTGTTGATTCAGGTACTGTGGCAGAAAACACTAAATGTTCAACTCGAACTTCCTTCATCAGTAATTCTGTTTCTATTTACATAGAAAATTTCTTCGAATAAAGGAAAAAGCTCTCGAGTTTTCACGGTTAATAACAACACAAAAAATTACCAATTCGGTTCATACACACCCCCTTTAATCTCTCTTCACACAACAAACTATCCCAGCAATAATTCCAGCCCCAGCATCAGGAATAAATCGCTTTCATCACTCTCCACAAAACCACTGAAAAAAAAAAACAAAAAACAGGAACAATTCCCGATCTAGTTAACCAGCTCACCACTAGAAAACGTGTGAAAAACTATTTGCGATTGAATGTTATTATTTTGGTATTTGTTATTGCAGAATATTCAATATGCATTATTTTCATACTTGAACGTATCATATCTTCTATGAAAAGTAAATTATAGTCAATATATTTGATTTTATTATGGCATTTTTCTCATTTTGTGTGATTTTCAAATCGTTGTGGATAAGTGAAGAACCTTTGTTTCAGGGTTTTTCATGCAAATAACACTCGAATTGGATAGTAAAACTTTACAATTGCAAGAAGAATCTTCTGAACGACTGATAATAACATAAAAACGAGCATAAAAATTAGCAGACCATTGTCACACTCGGAATGTGTTGATATATACAGGGTGCATCTAAATAACACCGTAAAAATTCAAGAGGTGATTCCTTGTGATATTTTAGGAAATAAACTTCATATAAACATGAGCTCTAACTTGCTTCATTTTCGAGATACAGGGTATTAATATTTCCATGAAAAATCTTTTTTCTATTCATTTCTCAATTGTCTTTTCATCAATTCCAATAAAACGTTGTGGTTTTGTTAATAGTAACATGGAGCTTCTTCTAGTGCGATCAGATTCGAAATAATATTTTTATCAGATTGAACTATTGAAATAACAACTTTTTTATCCTCTGTGTGATTTTTGTATCTAGCTCAGTTTTTGAGGAAACAATAAAAATTCGATTTGACTCCAAATTTTATTGTAGGTGTTTTCAAGACTTCCATTGAGATTACTAAATAACCCCAATAAGAATCATTTTGAAATTTTGTGGCTTACTCAATCTCCATCCATACTGAATTTTGGCACCATGAAGCTTATACAGGGGAGTTATAAATAAGAACAATTAATACTTCCAACTTCAACATCCTGTATCTCAAAAACGAAGCAAGTTAGGACACATGTTCATATGAACTTTATTCGCTAGAATATCCGAGAGAATATTACAAGGAAACATCGTGTGAATTTTTTAGGTATTATTTAGATACACCCTGTATGTATAATAATTATCGTTATCACCAGGATGACTTATTAGAGATTCAAATTTCATCAAATCATACAGGGTCTCCATTTAGAAATATATAGGTACTTCTCTTTTACCCTATATGTATTCGGGATGCTGCGTTTCTCGAAACAATACTGACAAAATCATGAATTAAACCACCTTCATATTATTGTTGCTCATTCATATAATATTCTGTTGATTCGGGTACTTCGACAGAAAACACTAAATGTTCAACTCGAACTTCTTTCATCAGTAATTATGTCTCTAGTTACAAAGCAAAATTTTTTAGATTACAAGAAACAGCTCTCGAATTTTCACAGTTTATAATATAGAAAAATGACCAATTCGCTTCATATACACACCCAACCTAATCTCTCTCCACACAACAAACTATCCCAGCAATAATTCTAGAACCACCAAGCCGGAATAAATCGCTATCATCACTCTCCACCATAGCGACAAACCCCCTGAGTGAACGCCCACTCCCACAAAACCCCCAAAACACCCCCCAAAAAAACAGAAACAACCACCGATCTAGTTGGCCAGCTCACCTCTCGCATAATCCACTCGGAAACATGTGAAGAACGATTTCGCCACAGCCGTCCATATTTCCGAAATTTTAAAGCGGGCCCACCGATTGCGGCGGAGCGAAGTTTCTGCTCACGGTCATCCCCCAACACTGGGGTGCAGCATCCCTCGGTCCTCCCTTCTCTCCCGATCTGTAAGACTCGGAGGAGGACGAATTGTGCCGAAACGAAGCAGTCGATAACGACAGGGACGTATCAGAAGAAATAGACTGAATCCGGAATAGTATCCCACTAAACATGATACATAACAATAGTATATTACATAACAAGAGTTGTAAAACGCACATTACGCACGAAGTGGAGAGAGTAAAGTTACACACGATGCCGCATAGCGGCGAGTGTGTAACTCCACAAGTGCGTAATTGCTTTACAACTCGCGAATTGTACTATACTTTTTCTACGACTACACTATATTTTCTTCCGGATAGTGCAGATATTGTATTAAGGTACAAATAACGAATACCAATATAAAACGTCTCCCGTCACTAAGCCAGCTGAATGAAAAGTTAAAAATCATAATTCTTGTGTTTGTTTATTGATACATTGCATACCGAGACATTTTCCTCAATTCGAATTGAAATGGAGCCGTTTCAGCTTTATTAATAGGTAGCCAAAACACATTGTATAATAATATAAAATTAACATTCATAATGGTTATTCATTTGTAACAGTGCAGCACGAGAGATTCTGTAATCGATTAAAAATAATAAAAATAAGTTCTCCAACTGCGCTCTGAACCACCGACCTTTAGGTTCGGAACCTGCGCTTCCAACAACTGAGCTATCTTTCTCCGTATTAGTAGATATTTTATTAATATAATTTCGAAGATGGATCTTTTTTAATTATTCCTGTTATTTAAAGAAAAAGGAATTCATCAATTCAATGTTGAGTATGTATATGTTATTTGAAAAATTACCTTCAACAGGAGCATTCTGTAGAAAGTAATTGATCTGTTCAGCATTGAGTATTTTTGATTTTTACCTCGGAATCCATATCCTTTCCTTTTGAGGAAATGGGATATGTTGCTATATTAATATTGTGATTGCGAGAAGGATATTTTCCGAAAATGACACGGTATTATTTCTAATAATCCAGTCCAGGAATTTTTGATGTGCTATTTCGTATCATTTACGAGACTTAGCGGGTAGCAACTCATTTTTTACCATTCTAGCTTTTTCTAACATTTCTGGTGGTGTAGAAATTATCTGCTCATCGTCATTGCTTGACATCATTTTTTTAACTGAAATTGAGGATTCTCAATAGAAAATAATCATATTTTCAAAAAATATAACTTTCATGATGCTTTCGGTTTCGGTGGATAGCTCTACCCACCTAGCTAGTGACATTAATGAAATTGTTAATTGTTATTGACACATCGCCTAAGCAACAAAACAAAGTCATCTATCAACATACCAACCGTGCGATCGCTCTCTTTACGCACACGTGTGTGAGGAGAAGCTTACTGCCATTGTTTTGTGTACAATATCCATCACTTACAGTAGTAGTCGTAGGAAAAAATATTTTTCAGTTATAAGTTTAGTGATATTGTTGGAATAACATTGCGATAATGTCCTTCTGAAGTATCCAACACAATATTATGTAAAACGTTTATGAGACGTTGCATCAATATTGACATCAATATCATTAGATAATATTGTGATATATTGATTTTGGGTTTATCAGATATATTTCAGACAGAGTTTGTATGTTACAGGATACAAGGGGATACTATTTTTTCTTTTAGGGCCAAGAAACCTTGCCAACTGTAAAAAATTCATTCCAGCCATTTTGTTTGTTGTCTATTATGGTGAACAGGCTAAATAGTGTGATCAGTGAAAATATTGATTTTCAGATATTATTCGTAGTATCAAAGTAAGTGAAGAACTAAACAAGTCTTGGACTCAAATAAATTCGAAACAAAAAATGAATTGCTCATGATAGCTACTTAGATTCCAGGTTTGCTCTGCTGGAATATAGAAATGCAACCAATCTGTATTTGCATTTCATGATATTTGAAAAAGTAGGAAGGATTCGTGAATACGGATTGTGTTCATATTTCACGAATTACAAAGATAATGGGCGAGTTATATATCATAGCTAGAAGAAGAACATAGAATAGAATTTCAAACTAATTTAGGAAACTTTCAACAACTCCTATAGAAATATATTTACCTATTTTCATTCAGATGATTTTCTTGATGATTCCAGACAAAATAGACATAACCTAAAAACTTCTGATATATTCATATAATATTTACCATCAACATTACATTGTAATATTTAAAAGAGGCACATGTTTAGTGGGATATTACATAATCAGTGTGGAAAATGACATATTTCGCGCGAGTGGACGGAAACAAAACGAGCGCAGGAAATGCACTTTCCAACGAGTATTGAACACTATTTTCCCTACGACCACAAATATTTATATTATATGTCTAAGTGTTTATAAGACCAGAGTAGGGATCATGTTTCTAATCATGTTCGATCACATGAAGGTGATGTCATTATCATTATTATTCAATTTCACTTCAATATTTAAATGACATCATTAGTTCAACGTTAACTTAACATAAACTTAACATTAACTCAAAATTAACCTAACATTGACTTAACATCACCTTAACATTAACTCAACATTAACTCAAAATTAACTTAACATTACCTTAAAATCAAATTGACATTAACTCAATATCAAATTGACATTAACTTCACATTAAACACTAAATTGCCAATACATTGACATTAATTCAACTTTCAATTGATTCCAACTTTTCATCAACTTAACATTACGTCAACATCAACGACAATATCTCATGTTAAATCGACACTAACTTTCCATTAACTTGGCCATAACTCAACCTACCTTTACATTACTTCAACATTAACCTATCATTAGCTCAACATTAATTCAACAATAACTTAACATTAACATTAGCAGTTACAAGCTTACCCGATAGATGATCCAAGCGCTGTGTGTGACAAAGAAACATGAACCTGATCAATATGCCAAATGATGAAAATTATAAACTAATGAAAATGAATGTATTTGAATGTACATATAATAAATACCTATAGTGATTCATTTACCAAGTAAGTACATCATATACCTTCCTAAAGCTTGTGTGGTGAGCGTGAGTTTTTTTTAATATTTCAACACACGTGAGAATCACTTTCGAACTTTTGGATCACTATGGTGACATGAGCTACTTTTTGAACAACATAGTGATGTGTTTTATGCTGTTTTCATAGGTGGTCGTAGAAAAAAGGACATTGCATGATTTGCTTCTGTTTCTTTCCTAATGCCGATTGTGCTTGAATTGAGGTAGGTACTCGCTGACCACCTGCAAACGAAACGACCGAGTCGATATCAACAGGGACGTATCAGAAGAAATAGACTGAAACGCAAAATGCATGATTTGCTGCTGTTTCTTCCCTTTTTTTTATGTTCTGGTTCCCACGAGAAGGAATATCCTGTAATGTTCAGAGAACATCGTGAGAACCAAGGGATATAAGGTAGGAATTGGTGTTCTTCTTAAATTTCTGGAGGTTATTTCCCTCGGGGATCATCTCCCTTGGCAATGTGTTCCAGAGCCTCGCTGTTCGTTGGATGAACGAGTCTTTGGAAAGAGATGTTCTGCAGGTCTCCAAAGTGACCACGAAGGGGTGCAAAGCCCCAACGTGACGGGTTAATCTCGCGGGGACTGCCAAGGGAGGAACAATAAATTGTTGATAGTCAGAAGAGCATCGTCCATGAAAATATCTGTGTAATAGAGCCAGATCGCCAATTTTTCTAAGGTGTTCCAGAGAAGTGAGTGAGTTTGTGATCGAGGTATCACCTACAAGACCAATTGTCCTGTTTTGTACAGAATCCAACAGTTTCAGGGTATGTTTGGGTGCTGTACTCCAAATATGGGGACAGTATTCCAGGACAGGTCGGATCTTTGCCTTATGGTTTAGCAGCTGACTAGAAGTGAAATAGCTCCTGGTCCGAAACAGAAAACCAAGTTTTTGGGACATTATTATAATAATAATCACAACTGTAACACAATGAAGTTATTGTTTTATCAGGAGAGGGAATGGAATTAAAGACATACAATGTACCTCATTGTTTCATTGAAAAGAGTAAAGAAATAACAGGTAAAAAAACGAATCGTTATAACACTAGACAGGCTATGGATATATCGGTACCAATACCATCAACTACTCAAATCAATAACTCCTTCTTTTGTAATGGGAAAACATTATTCAATCATTTGCCAAATGCTGACTAATTTCAAGAAATTTAAAGGTTCTGTGAGGAATATTCTGCTAGAGAGAGCTTACTACTCGTTGGATGAATTTGAATTTGGAAAATTTCTCTCAATAGGGTACCTACCATAATATTTTTCAAATCATGATTTTCATTGTTCATCTCATATTTTGAGTCAAACACAGGTAGATGTTGGAAAAAGGGAATTTGCTATCGAAAAATAACTTTTGGAAGAATTTGCTACTCAGTTATAAGGAAAAAGCAATATTTTTGTCACGCAGCAGACTCTCTCTTGAAATCGATTTATTTCGAAAATGGTGAGTACTATCATAACTGAACAAGACTATCATTTTTAAGAAAAAATCATAATATTATCTCCTGATCAAACTGCCGAAAATTGCATTGAAAAATGTGCTGAAAAAAATGCCCCTAGCCCCACCTGTTTCCCACGCCCCTGATCAAAATTTCAGAAAATTATTAATATTCCCAAGTCGGGCATGAAGAGTTATACATAAAACATGTACAAAATTTCGATATCTCAACACAGACGGTTTCGGAACTAGGGGGCTATTTCTGGACCCATGTTTACACAAACTTCTCTAACCATTTTTGTTTCTAGAATCTGTGGTTGAAATCTGTCTATGTAATTTCGGGACACCTTGTATACATAATGATACCCTCCAAGAGGCATATTGGTTGGAATCACGTCACTATATCTTCCGTTCAATTCTGTGATGCCTGATCCGGCTCTGGATACCCGATGGTGGCGGTTCGCTCCTCTCGGAATCTGGATCTTCCGGAGATGCCGGAATGATCGTTGCCAGTGGAAATAAATCCGGTAT